ACAGTAGTAATTGTGATCTAGTATCATCAACAAAACCATACTCCAAAGTGTTTGAGTGCACAAAAATAAAAACATGATTTTTACCAATGTCCGACGGATAAGATGGTTCAAATGGGTAGCAGAAAAAAGCCGCGTGCCAACACCTAACCCTCGAGTTCATCAAGCTCGTTCATCTTTTTTTCATCCGAAGTTAACAAACAAATAGTTGTGTTAACTCAAAAACTGCATAAATGAACTAATAATATGTTTTGAACTCCATATCTTGCAGTATTTTTTCAAAGTTCGGTCTCTCGCAAGATCCAAATAAAAGTCCGTAATAATTTGGCAAAATTAAAAAAAAAACACTTTTTAAAAAATGATGTTGAGATTTTGAAACAATTTTGACCGTTATTAATTTAATTAATAAAACTAGAAAAAGAATAAATTTTAATAGGAGTTAGCAAAACTTCTTGATATCTTTTTGGTTAGCAAACAATTGAAAGAAGATCGGCCTGAAATGACTATCTGTTAACAAGCCTAGCGCAATATTGAACGGGGTTTCCAGCAAAGACGTGAAAAACCCTGTAGTTTCTGTTCAAAAACGTAAGAAGTTTCCCCAGTCTTCATCACATTTGCAGAATTACTTGTAGAAACACTGAAAAAAATCTCATCATAAAGCTACTTTGATTCAAAACTTAGATATATTATATTGAAAAAAAGCACATACATCGTCGCCCAGAAGAAATTGGATGAATAAACCTTTTCTCAGTCTCAGACAGTTTCCATCAAATAATTTGGTTTTTCAACATATATAAATCCGTTAACAACAAAAAAATGTCTTGAATGTCGTTTTTTGTTATCACGGGGTATACAAATTGATACAATTCATTGTAAAAAAAACGCACATTTGGCAGGACTTAGGTATCCCTCTAAATTTGGCAGGACTTACGTATCCCTCTAGCAGGACTTAGGTATCCCTCGGAGAGCAACAGAAATTTTGAAGTATTGGTTACAGGAGAGCGACTGTCCACAGTCTCATTTGATCAAAATGGCAAAATTTTGAATCATGGATTAATATTCTTAAAAAAAACTCAGAAAAAATTCCCTAATTTAACTTCAAGTTTTTTTGGCTCGTTTTCGAGCTTCACGGCCAATGCTACCAGAAGGCAACATATCTCATTTAGTCAACGCATCCAAAACATGCACCAGAAGGGTAATGGTTGCGAGTGAAAACAACATGTAATTCCCAGGTGATTTTAATCGAAACCAAGTTTGGATATCTCCAAATTTTCAATTATATCTGATAGCTGCTTTTATAGAACCTATAAGCAACAATGCGACCCACCAGACTAACCCTTTGTATGTTAAAATTTATGAAGAACAAGCACGTTTGATAAACTCATTTTTGTTTTAAAATTTTATCAATTGAATTTTAAATTAAATAGATTCTTACAAAAACAAAATTTTATTTCACAAATTCAGTCTGAGACTTTGCGAAAATGTAAGGTTCCAACACTTAAAAACGGTATGATTTCCCCTTGTATATCATGAAATTTGTTTTGAATACTGTGGAACTTTTTTGCTTATTTTTTGCTTTTTTATACTGGGGTTCAATGAAAAATTAACAATCAGCAGTCAGTATTGAGCTCATTACCTTGTTTCGACAGTCTCAGCAATTTCAACTGATAAAATTTGCGAAAGTAGTAGTAATTGAGATCTAGTATCACCAACAAAACCATATTCCAGAGTGTTTGAATGAACAAAAATAAACATGAATTTTACCAATGTCCGACGGATAAGATGGTTCAAGTGTATCGCAGAAAAACGCCGCGCCCCAAATTCTAAAACTAGTTTTTGTGAAGAAGATCTCAACAGTCTCAATTGATCAAAATTGCAAAAGGCAGTAGTAATTGTGATCTAGTATCACCAACAAAACCATACTCCTAAGTGTTTGAGTGCACAAAAAAAACATGAATTTTACCAATGTCCGACGGATAAGATGGTTCAAGTGGGTAGCAGAAAAAGGCCGCGCGCCAAATTCTAACCCTCAATCTCATCAAGCTCGTTCATCTTTTTTTCATCCGAAGTTAACAAACAAATAGTTGTGTTAACTCAAAAACTGCATAAATGAACTAATAAAATTTTTGAACTCCATATCTTGCAGTATTTTTTCAAAGTTCGGTCTCTCGCAAGATCCAAATAAAAGTCCGTAATAATTTGGCAAAATTTGAAAAAAAAAAACACTTTTTAAAAAATGATGTTGAGATTTTGAAACAATTTTGACCGTTATTAATTTAATTAATAAAACTAGAAAAAGAATAAATTTTAATAGGAGTTAGCAAAACTTCTTGATATCTTTTTGGTTAGCAAACAATTGAAAGAAGATCGGCCTGAAATGACTATCTGTTAACAAGCCTAGCGCAATATTGAACGGGGTTTCCAGCAAAGACGTGAAAAACTCTGTAGTTTCTGTTCAAAAACGTAAGAAGTTTCCCCAGTCTTCATCACATTTGCAGAAGTACATGTAGAAACACTGAAAAAAATCTCATCATAAAGCTACTTTGATTCAAAACTTAAATATATTATATTGAAAAAAAGCACATACATCGTCGCCCAGAAGAAATTGGATGAATAAATTCTTTCTCAGTCTCAGACAGTTTCCATCAAATAATTTGGTTTTTCAACATATATAAATCCGTTAACAACAAAAAAATGTCTTGAATGTCGTTTTTTGTTATCACGGGGTATACAAATTGATACAATTCATTGTAAAAAAAACGCAAATTTGGCGGGACTTAGGTATCCCTCTAAGTTTGGCAGGACTTACGTATCCCTCTAGCAGGACTTAGGTATCCCTCGGAGAGCAACAGAAATTTTGAAGTATTGGTTACAGGAGAGCGACTGTCCACAGTCTCATTTGATCAAAATGGCAAAATTTTGAATCATGGATTAATATTCTTAAAAAAAACTCAGAAAAAATTCCCTAATTTAACTTCAAGTTTTTTTGGCTCGTTTTCGAGCTTCACGGCCAATGCTACCAGAAGGCAACATATCTCATTTAGTCAACGCATCCAAAACATGCACCAGAAGGGTAATGGTTGCGAGTGAAAACAACATGTAATTCCCAGGTGATTTTAATCGAAACCAAGTTTGGATATCTCCAAATTTTCAATTATATCTGATAGCTGCTTTTATAGAACCTATAAGCAACAATGCGACCCAGCAGACTAACTCTTTGTATGTTAAAATTTATGTAGAACAAGCACGTTTGATAAACTCATTTTTGTTTTAAAATTTTATCAATTGAGTTTTAAATTAAATAGATTCTTACAAAAACAAAATTTTATTTCACAAATTCAGTCTGAGACTTTGCGAAAATGTAAGGTTCCAACACTTAAAAACGGTATGATTTCCCCTTGTATATCATGAAATTTGTTTTGAATACTGTGGAACTTTTTTGCTTATTTTTTGCTTTTTTATACTGGGGTTCAATGAAAAATTAACAATCAGCAGTCAGTATTGAGCTCATTACCTTGTTTCGACAGTCTCAGCAATTTCAACTGATAAAATTTGCGAAAGTAGTAGTAATTGAGATCTAGTATCACCAACAAAACCATATTCCAGAGTGTTTGAATGAACAAAAATAAACATGAATTTTACCAATGTCCGACGGATAAGATGGTTCAAGTGGGTAGCAGAAAAAGGCCGCGCGCCAAATTCTAACCCTCAATCTCATCAAGCTCGTTCATCTTTTTTTCATCCGAAGTAAACAAACAAATAGTTGTGTTAACTCAAAAACTGCATAAACGAACTAATAATATTTTTGAACTCCATATCTTGCAGTATTTTTTCAAAATTCGGTCTCTCTCAAGATCCAAATAAAAGTCCGTAATAATTTGGCAAAATTTGAAAAAAAAAACACTTTTTAAAAAATGATGTTGAGATTTTGAAACAATTTTGACCGTTATTAATTTAATTAATAAAACTAGAAAAAGAATAAATTTTAATAGGAGTTAGCAAAACTTCTTGATATCTTTTTGGTTAGCAAACAATTGAAGGAAGATCGGCCTGAAATGACTATCTGTTAACAAGCCTAGCGCAATATTGAACGGGGTTTCCAGCAAACGTAAGAAGTTTCCCCAGTCTTCATCACATTTGCAGAAGTACTTGTAGAAACACTGAAAAAAATATCATCATAAAGCTACTTTGATTCAAAACTTAAATATATTATATTGAAAAAAAGCACATACATCGTCGCCCAGAAGAAATTGGATGAATAAACCCTTTCTCAGTCTCAGACAGTTTTCATTCAAATAATTTCAGGGATATTTTGGTTTTTCAACATAGTTAAATCCGTTAACAACAAAAAATGTCTTGAATGTCGTTTTTTGTTATCACGGGGTATACAATTTATGGTAAAAAAATACGCAAATTTCGCAGGACTTAGGTATCCCTCTAAATTTGATTATAAATACGTTGACGGCTTTTTCTGAGAGGGGAATTCGAAATCTAAAACTAATAACATATTAGGTTTTAAAACTAATAACATACTAGTTTGCAGACTTTGTCTGAGTTGCAGTTTTAGTCTGAGTTGTTAATTATAAAAGGTTTTAAAAGTCCTTAAAGTTGAACCACAGACAATTAAGCCACATGTTAGTTGGGTAGGTCATTGCTTTGGGGTTGTTCTAAGATTGTTTATAGTAATTATACATGTGAAAGATAGATTGCGAAAGAATCAATTCCGTGCTAAAACCCAGTAAAAGTCTTGAAACAGTGTTCATTTTAGGTAGGTGGGTTGTGGGGAAGGGTTGAGCAAGAACAAGGGTATTTGAAAAGAGAGCTAAATTTAATCATTATTCAAAATCAATTTTAAAAAAATGTTCACCGAGTCCACGCTCACCCCCCCCCCCCCCCCCCCAGGGATAAACTGGCTTTATTATCTAACAATTGCATTTTGAACTGAAACAGCTTATCTCAATCATTACTTTTGCAAACTAGTGCTTTCTGATTACTAAAGAAAGTGAGAAAAAAATCCATTTTGTATTGATGATTTGCACGAACCTATCCAGATGAAGTAGGATAGCTTGGCGTAAAGACAGTGTATTGGAACAGACAGAAGTATAGCTCTATGAGCAGTAGTAGCAGTAGTTTGCATAGCTGTAACCCCTGTGCGGGAAAACAGCAGGAACAAAATGTTCTTGGTTGTTCTAGAATATTTTAAATTGGTCATTAACTCAAACTGGTTCAAGAACAACCTAGAAAATTTTTGCTCCAGCTCTTTTCCGCGCCCTGCTCGCCCCTCCCCCACTGATTTACAGGTATGCAAACTACTACTACTAAAAGGTAACCACTCAAACCAATCTCAGACTTCAATTTAACTTAAGACTAGCTTGTACAATTTATGGAAAAAGATTGCATAGGGGAATAGTTACATTTGAAATTATATTGAAATTAGTTAAAATTGGTTGATTCATTCGTCGAACGCGTTTGTAAATACTGCTGTGTTAGACGGTAGCGCTGGTGCAGACTGTTGAGTAATCACTGATAGGGGCGACTGAAACAAACAGAATTTTGGTTTACGACCATTGAAATTGAGAGCAGTTCCAACATTGACAAATTTGCTCCAAAACTCAACATCCGATTTCAGAGACATTTCAATTGTGACGTCATAAAAGCATCATAAAACTGGTGTACCTATATCTCGCGTACGGCAGAGGAATATTTTGAGTCTGATCTTTTATTATTTTTTTTGTAGCTTTGAGCTCATAGTGACAATGCAATCATCTTGATTGGTAAAAAGTATCAAGGTTTTTGCAGCGACAAACGGTTGATTAATAAGGAGTGAATTAATGAGATTTGAGTGATAGTTCCAGTAGCAATTCAGATCAAATATATATGGTAAACACCCGCAATAAGCTGCTCGAACTAATGACTAAAGGTCATGTTTCACCAGCTAAATTAAACAAAAATCGTGAAGTGATCTTTCAGTTTGAACCGAATAAAGATGATCAATTTCATTTCAGTTACGAAAAATCACCAATACCCCGCCTTTCAAATTAGGTGGTTCCTAGCAGAAAGTCTCGGAAAAATGCAGTTTTGCATCTTCCCAAGTTTTTCGTCAGTGCGACTGCAGGCATGTTTGCTCTTGGTAAAAAGGTTGGTGAAACATGGTCTTTGGTCATTGGTTCGAGCAACTTCGTTCGGGTGATCCACCATATATATTTGATCTGAATTGCTACTGGAACTATCACTCAAATCTCATAATTCACTCTTTATTAATCAACCGTTTGTCGCTGCAATAACCTTGATAGGTTATGGGCCCAGATGCACAATCACGAGTGAGAAGTCAGGAGTCAAGATTGACCGTTTGTTCAAACGAATAAGAAAAGAACTGAGATTTGCAGTGGAGTTGTGACAGTGAAAAAACACAACTTGAAATATACAGATGATCAGATGGAGAACTGCGAGAATAGAAGCAGGCCAACACTACTTGGAGACAGACGATTGATCAGATAGAGAAGTGCAAAGATAGAAGCAAACAACTCAACTAGTAGAGACAGACAAATCTGACGACAGAAGCAGGGCAGGGCAACACAACTTCTAGAGATGGACAACTCTGACGATAGAAGCAGGGAACTACAACAAAAAGATGAGACAGTCAAAAGCTACACGAAGTGGCACTGAAAGCGCACAGCAGTGGGAGAAGCATTACACGAAGATTGATAGTGAAAGAAAACTGAAACAAACTGCTAAACAACATGTTTTATTTGTAAAATTTGCTGATTTATACTCAATTTTTGCGGAGGGATAAATTTGTTCGTACGCAGTTGCTCAAATCTGACAGAAAACCAATCCAAAGAAAACAATGCCATAAAAAAAGAAACTGATACCCCAGCACAAAAAGACGAACTTATATATTGCTAATATATATATTACCTTGTATGAAATCTGAGGAAGGACCTTAGCTTTGCTAATTTGCGAATGTGTTATTCGGTTCACAGACCGTTAGGCTCCGAATCAGATTTAGGTAGTCAAAAATACTTGCATAGTCATACAAGCGGGCAATATTGGTCTTTATAATACATGATTTTGATGTAAGAGAAATCGAGGTCATTGAATTTTACCAGGGGCAATACTAAGCTTTTTGAATTTTGATTGGAGCTTAACTTTTGTGTAAGACTTAAAAGGAATATAAGAACTTACATTAGGAAAGACATTTTGAAAACCGATAGGATAGTTTGTTTTGGGAGAAAAAGAGTATTTTCTACTTTGAAGAGCATTTCGAGGCACAAAAAATTTTCACCTTGAAATTAAACAAGATTTCAGATGAGACAGTTGATTATAGAAACTTTATGCAAAGTTTAAGACCGAATGCAAGCAGTGATCAAAAACAAGCTGCAGTGGATAGAGGAAAAAAAGATTTTTGAGGAAAAACAGTTCCAAATCTGATACGAACTTGTGCAGGACCTAGATAAGAAATTGGTCTCGTTTTTAAAACCTTACAAGGGCAATGGTAGGAATGCTTGGGATGTTTTAAGGAAAAGTTTTAAGAGTTTTAAAAGACTCGGGCTTCGAGAACTAAACTTCGAACTTGCAAATTTGGAAATTAATAGCAATGAAACAGTGATAGATTGTTTGACTAGAGCAGAGGAGATTCAGTATATTTTAGAACAAGTGAACAAAGGAGTGAGTGAAAAAATGCTAACTTCAATTATTTTGAAAGGGATTCCAAAACAATTTGAAACTTTTTCTACTATAGCCAAGTTTAGTAGAGATGAGAAACATTTAGATGAGTTGAAAAGAGATTTAGTGAGTTTTGATAGCGAGAGATAAGTCATTGAAAAGGAGCATGCTTTTAATAACGAGAATAGATTTTGGTTTGTTTCAAATGTCATAAAAGAGGACATGTGTCGAAACAGTGCAAAGAAAAGTTAGTCAGCAGACGAGATAGTGAATAAAAAGTTCGAAAAATTGAGTTCGTTGAGTGCAAGGAGTTTAGACATTTTGCAAAATATTGCCAAGCAAAGAAAAAATTCATTAGTAAAACTAAACGAGAACAGCAGAACCTAGCAGCTGAAACAGAGGCTCATTTTAGTTTTCTGAGTGGAATGTCTCCGGGCGAGGACTCAGTCGTAGACTCTGGAGCCACCAGTAATAAGATTAAGGATCGAGAGATGTTTGTTAGTTTAGACGTGAACTTCAAAGGATCGGTTAGCAATTCAAGTTTTTCTGAGTCAGAAGTTTTAGGGAAATGTGAAGTTAGATTCAGAGTGAAAGATGAGAAAGGCAAGATTAAGATTATTGAGCTGAAGAATACTTCGTACGTTCTTGAAAAATGAAGAAAGCAGGAGCAGAAGTTGTTTTTGGTGCGAGTTCGTTTGTTCGCCAGGGAAATGGTTCAGTTTACCCATTAGGAGAGGAAAATGGTTTTTTATGGGACACTTGCGTAGGAAAAGACGAGTGTTATGTAGTTAGCACATTGGAACAGCGGCCTTGCAGGATGGGTCATAATAACTACAAAGACTTCAGTCTTTAGAGCAACATGTTGAAGGCACAAATATCAGTGATTTTGAAATTGAGAATTGTGAAAACTGTGAGTTGAATAAAGCAGAAAAAAAGCCAGTCCCGAAAAATTGTTACACCGGGGCAACCAGGACACTAGATATTGTTCACACAGACATTTTAGGTCCTATTAACTCGATAGCAGAGTATGGACATAGATATGCTATAAGTTTTGTGGACAGGTTTTTTAGATATTTAAATATATATTTCATGAAAACGAGAGATGAGGCAACAGAAAAAATTGAAAGGTTCATAGCAGACATAGGAGTCCCTCAGATTTTAGTTTCAGATGGCGCAGGAGAAAACATTGGTCAGGATTTTAAGCGAGTTTGTAAGAAACAAAAAATAAGATTGGAAACATCGGCTCCTTATACCCCTCAAAAGAACGGAAAGATAGAAAGGTTGTGGGGAACAATTACTCCAATGGCTCGCTGCATGATTTTTGATGCCAATTTATCAAAAACAGTTTGCCCTTATGCTCTTAAAGTGGCTACTAGTCTCAAAAACATGTGTTTTCTTTCTGCTATAGGCAAAACACCCTACAAGTCTATGTATGGAGAAAAAGCCAACCTTAATTTTGTGAAAACTTTTGAATATGTAGCGTATAGATTTGTGGAAAAACAGTTTCGCAAAAAACTAGACCAAAATTCTAGAAGGGGAATTTTCTTGGGGACACTGGAAAATAACAAAGCTTATCTGATAGGAATTGAGAATGAAGGAAAACTCAAAGTGCAAAAGTCTTGAAACGTTAGTTTTGACGAATCTAAGTTCTATTTTGAGAAAAAGATAGAAAGTGACAAAGGAGAAAAAGTAGGTGATGTAGTATTTTTTGGAGAAGTGCTCGAAACTATACCAAAAAATGCTAAGGAAGCTTTAGCAGACCCTGACTGTCAAGAAGCAATGAAAAAAGTTTGATTCATTAGGGAAAAACAAAAATTGGGAATAGAAATAGAGGAGAGAAGCCTATGGGCAGCAGATGATATTTTGCTTTGGAGTACGGACCTACTGGTGAAGTTTCTGGGTGCAAGGCTAGGTTTGATGCTAAAGGTTTTACCCAAGTTTAGAGAAGGGATTTTCACGAAACTTATTCGCCTACAGCCAAAACGTCGACCATAAGAATAACCCTGAGCTTAGCAGTTCAAAATAGGTATGAGTTGAGACAGTTAGACATTGAAACTGCATACTTGCATGCCAAACTAGATGAAGATATTCTAAAGAAGCAACCTGAAGGGTTCGAGAAGTTTGATGAAGAAAGAAAACCTTTAGTTTGTCTTCTGAAGAAAGTCATTTTTATGGACTAAAGCAGTCCGATAGAAACTGTCGTAGGACTCTAAAAGGCTATTTTGAGGAGTTAGGCTTTGAAAATTCAGTTTTTGATGAGTGCTTGTTTGTTAGGAGGATTGAAGGAGAGATAGAATGTTGAATTTGCTCGAGGGTCGATGATATTGTTTTTTGTGGAGCGGACAAAACTTTCTGTAGCTGGTTTGCAGAAAGTTAATAAGTGAGATAAGTGATCATAAATAGTTCTTATGAATGCAAATTGATTACTCAGGCAGGAAACGAAATCAAGATAAGTCAGCAGAAATATGTTGATAAGTTGTAATCGAGATTAAGGATGACCGAAGCAAAATCAATAACAACGAAAAGCTTTTTCGTTTTTGTGAAAACGAAAAAACTGACAAAAGAAGATTGTCCTTCAGAAAGTAGCATAGAACAAGAAAATATGGAAAATGTGACTATACAGGACTTGTTGGTTGTCTAAATTACTTAGCTTTATCAAGTAGACCTGACATTTACTTTGCAGCAAACCTTCCAAGTTCTTTTGTGGAAAACCCAGGTGAAAAGCATTGGAAAGCCGGAATAAAGTGTCTGAGATATCTGCTAGGACCAAAAAAATTACCTTTAGTATATGGGAGGAATAAGGCGTTGAATCTTATTAGCTATTCGAATGCAGACTGGTCTGGAAATATAGACAATAGGATAAGTACCTCGGGATATTGTTTTAAACTCAGTGACAACTCAGGTGTAATAAGTTGGTCCAGCAGACTTCAGCGTTGTGTATCAACTTCAACAGCCAAAGCAGAACAGAATGCTGTGGTCGAAACAGTAACGGAAGGAATTCATTTACAGGGCATACTTAGCGACTTAGGCATAATCTGTAATAGGCCTTCGGAAGTTCTCGTTCATAACCAAGCTTGTATTGCCCTTAGTAAACGTTCAATGAACCACGGAAAGATGAAGCATTTTGCCATAAAACTACACTTCCCTCGAGAGTTAGTTGAACAGAAAAACGTGACATTAACTTTTTTACCAACAGCAAACATGCCTGCAGACGCTTTGACGAAAAACTTGGGAAGATGCAAAACTGCATTTTTCCGAGACATTCTGCTAGAAACCACCTAATTTGAAAGGTGAACATCATTTTTACTGGAATTGGCCTTTCTTGTTCGGTTCAAAGTGAAAGATCACTCCCCGATTTTTGTTAAAATTAGCTGGTGAAACATGACTTTTAGTCTTGGTTCGAGCAACTTTGTGCAGGTGATTTACCATATATACTTGATCTGAATTGCTACTGGAACTATCACTCAAATCTCATTATTTCACTCCTTATTAACCAACTGTTTGTCGCTGCAATAACCTTGATAAAAAGAACAAGTATGTTCTTCGAAGTACACCAAATATAGAAGAAATACCTGTGAGTGTGAGGCGAGGAGTTGTTTGGAGAGACATTGCCACACCCTCAGCTGGTTACCTGGCTTATTGTCCCCATACACAAGCGAGGCAACCTCTGGAACCACTGAAACAGCATCTTTTGTCATGAACGAAGCTTGCAAAATAAATGAAATCCGCCAAAGATTAACACAAAAAACATCAAGCTATAATAAATAATTTCCATTCCACGCACAGAAAATCATACCAACTCCAGTTTTTCTATGCCGTAGCGGCTGTTTAATATCAATTCTATTGACTTTGAATAGCCTTCATTTTATTATTCAAACTGAGCACCGTAACAGAACTGGCATAACATTTAATCACAAACCATCAACTAGATGTTAGTATTTTAGCTGTTGTCAAAAAGGCTCAAATATAGTTCAACCGGAGTTAATGGTAGTCGCTTTTCAAATATTCTCTTAATTTTTCTTTTTTATCTTCCGAAAAACATTAGATCCTTGTTATTCTTTCATACTCGATACGGAAAAGTTGAGTAAGATTCAAAATTTTTATGTTTTAGAAGAATTTCTTTAAGATAGCACTTTTGAGATACTTTTATTCCTGCTTAGATGATCTAAGAATTTTACAAATGTTCTATTCTCTTTTTCAAATTGTCACGTTCTTTAGGCTTAGCACTCACAATTGTAACAAGAATGATGATTTCTTAACTGGAGAGTACTTATTAATAGCTGATCAGAAATGATATGATTCACATTTCAATCTATTATTACTAACACTCACCCTTATTGACGAAGTTCGCCCTTGATATGCTTTTTCTGTCGCTTTTGCAGCCTGCCCACATTTTATCTACCTGTTTAGCCGCCAGGGTCACTTTGCCGCCTGTCTCTGTGTCGAACTCAGACTGAGCGAGGAACCTCTTGAACTCAGTGGCATCGAACACTCGCTCATCATCTGTGAATGTCGACTAAACAGAGACAACTTAAACGGCAGTATCTTGGTGTTGTGCAAAATTCAGAGGAAGTTCCCATCATAGTTACTTTTGCAAAGTTAGTTTCAAGAGTACAATAAAAAAAATTGAAATAGAAAAAAAATAGAAAAAAAAATCTTTCCTTGAAAATTTTCAAATTTTTTCTGTAATGCAGAAAAAAAACTCATCGTCGAAGTGAAGAGTGACTCCTCTCTCCAGTTTGTCCAAATAGCAAAAATTTTTAATTCCGTTTTTAGATCTTTGTAACCCAACTTTTCGACACCTGGCAGAAATAGAGATCAAGGCAGAAATAGTGATCAAGCGTAAGCCGTAAAAAGTTTCTGGAAATTTTAAAAAGACTCACCATGCTTTTATTTGTTATGCGGACAGTGTTTTCTGCGCTCTGCTCGATTGTTGAAGACCTGTCTCTGATGCTGTGTTTGATTGAAAGTTCCCTATATGTTTCAAATATATATTGTGTTTGGCCGCCTAAAACAAATATCCGACTATCGACAGTGCTTCGACTGTGCTTGAAACGAAATTTCAGGAAATAAATTTTTTTTTGGTTTCAGATAAAAGCTTATGCGACACTTACGACACGTGGGTTATGCGAAATAATGACATCATTGTTACGTTTGCGCAGAATAATTCTTTAAAGAACCAGTTTCGACAAAAAAATGACATCATTTTTACGTTTGCGCAGAATAATTCTTTAAAGAACCAACTTCGATAGAAAGATATAGCGTATAATAAGAACACTCCAGCAGGAATTATTCTCTAGTTTAAAATTGGGATAGCTTCCGACATCGGAATCTTGCATCACAAAAATTAATGGCGTCAATTTGATTTTTCATTAGATTAGCTCTCAAAAAATGACAACATTCTGACAACATAAATTTAGATTCGTTGTGTTGTTTGCGAGTTTCCAGCAAGAACACCTTTAAATTTATTTTTGATAAACTAGATATTTGAAATCTTAAGCACAAGGTTTACCAATTTTAATCGGCTAGCCCATTCCGAATACTTCCTATCAACATGTAATAAGAAATATCAATAATTTATCTTGAATAATTGAAAAGATGGCGACAAAAACATGAGGCAAAAATTTGTTCATTTGCTCGTTGAAGTCGAAAATGTGCTATTTTTATGTCACGCCACTGAAGCTGATTTTTTGTTAAAATAAGTTTCTCAAGACTACAAAGGTTTTTCTCACTCGAAAGTTTGAGTATTTGTTTTTTTATAAACTTCAAGGAAAAAAAGAAGCGTTTCTTCAGAATAAAATACAAATTAATGAAAACTTACTTGCAATAAAACATGAACACAGTGGAGAAAGAACCAGATGGATAGCAGTAAGTTGGAAAAAAAAAACAACTTGAAAAAAAAGCCGAAATAGTTGTCTAATTTTTTTTCAGTAATGAGCCTCAAATGATTCATTTTATTTGAGGAAAACTTTTGAAGCAAAGTGTTGTTAAGTAGTGTTAATTTATTGCACGCTTAGCAAATTTAATTTATATTAAGCGCTGGGGTGGAGGATCTTAACTTGATCCCCATTTGCTAGTGTTAAATGAGCATTCAAGAGAGGAATCCTAGCCAACAACAACACTTGGGCAGAGACTGGTTAAGTCGAAACTAAAATTTGTGACAAAATTTTTTTTACTCCTTACTCTTAAAACGCAAAGTCATGGAAATCTATTTTTCCCTTCAAACGACGCACTTGCGGCAAAAAATAAGCAGTCAAACAGAAGTCTGTCCATTAAATGTTTTCGAGAAATTAATTCAAATTGTATAACAAAATGGACTCCTGGCTAGAACCAAAACCAGTGCTTTTAAAGTCCGAAAAGGTTTGACCGTCTCGCAATTATGAGTTAGGACCGATGGGTATAACTCATAGAGTAATTTCGGATAGGGTACACCGTCTGCTCGTCACGCTATCTTATTTTCGGCCGGATAGATTCGTGCAACTTCTTAGTCTAATACCGATCCTAATCTTACTCTTATACTATCTAGTCTCAGGTTGTTTAACTAGTCTCTGCTAGGCTCAATAGATCTAGGGTATACTGGTTTATTGCGGCTGCTGAAGTGCTCGGGAGAGTCCAACTAATTTCTAAGTTAAATTCAAATCTCTCTGGTGCTGAAATTACAAGTAACTTCAGCACTTACAAATAAGTGGGTTGTTAGTTAGATGGATCATGATTGGTTAATATTAAATACTTTACATTGGTAAAATATCTAAATTATCCAATCATAAAATGTAGTCTAGATCAGGTTCCACCCATCCGGGTTTTACAGAGTTTTTTAGAATAGTTCTTCTGCAATTCGAAGGATGGATGATGGACGTTGGTGTTTGGCGAACATCTTATTTCTTCTGTTTCCTCTTTGTTAAAGGAGTTCCAGGAAGCTGGAGTTAGAGACATAAGACGTTGTGTCTTCTAGTGACAACGACTAAGTCTTTGCAACAAACTCAAATCTGATTTCAGAATGGTTTGCTATGTCAGGTTTTTCTGTTCTGCGTGGAGAACTTCTTTTGTGTCTGATCTAATTTGGGAATGGCGTGGAGATTGTGCGTGGAGGGGATGCCTGGTTACTCGGATCTGTACGTATACTTGAACATCGAGGTGGTCATTGGTCTAGTTCAATGAAGTCCTTTTCTGCGAAGTCAAGTCGTACTCTAAATCCTTTGAGTTGTGATTGTGAGTGGCATATCGATTGTGGTTGGCCATTCTCTCTCGAGTGTAGTGGGGTCGTTTTGTCTTTAGATGTTCGTCCTTGGTGTTGTATTCTGATCTATGTATTGCATAATGTAATTTACATTTTATAAAACATTTATTAGTTTAATATTTTTTAATTATGATTTTAGTTAGTTGTTTTCACAAAAGCTTTTTGTTTTAGTTCGGTTATTTTGAAGAGTTACTCACACTTGAGTAGCTCTTATTAAAAATAGAGGTGTGGTCACAAAGCGTGGATGTAGCGCGGTGGGTTAGGCCGGCTATAGAGCATGCTCAGGACGTCCTTCCTGGTGGGTTAGGCCAGGAGTGGGAGTATGATTTCATGCGGTTTTTGTGAGGGGTCCTGTTATGTGACAACGTTTTATGTTGGGTTTGTTGTGGTTTTTCTTATGTCTTGTTGGTTATGTCCTTTTTCCAAAAAGCAAATTGTTCGTGGTATGGGTTTGTCTTTCGACTTTTTTGTGTTTTATTATTTCTTTCTTAGACTTTATAATAGTCTTCAAAAGAATAAATTATCCAGTTTTAAACTGGGTTAATCCGGTTTGGGTACCGTTGGTTTCCTTTTCTTAGTCATGCTGTTATTCTATGATTTGTGGTATTTAGTAAGCTGCGTTGGTTAGTTTTGTTTAGTATATGATTCCTTTCCAACCGGGTTAAAGGAAGGTTTGAAACATGTTATTATATGTTAGAGTTGTTGAGTGTGAAAACTTGAAACTGAAATTCATTATTTTAAACAATTCTTCGTGGGCGAGCTGTGCGAGTGTGGATAGAATTTCTGTGCGAATAAATGAGAATATCAAAAGGTTAGTACTGCATTTGCATTTTATTAATTTACTGCATAGAATTTGGAAATTTACTGCTAGTTATGGGGGAATTTTAAGTTACAAATTTTCATCATAATTAGATTTACTGCTTGTGGGGAAAATTTTAGAAATGAATTTACTGCATTGGTATTAAATTTATAAATTTATAAGTGTAAGAGATTAATAGAATTTTTGAAATCTGTTTGATGAAATTTGCGATTTTTATTTGTCTTTTGTGGTTTTTGTAGGCGATTGTCGGATGAAGGCTAAAAATCTAAAGAAAACATGGATAAAGTATGGTGAGTTTTTTAATATTTTAATTAGTTAGTAATATTCATTTAATTCATACTTACCTGTTTATTCGTCGGGGAAAAAACCGTGGGGGAAGATGTCGTGAATTAGTTCTGAAGTTGTTAGTAGTTTAGCTAAGATGCGGATGATATTTTTAGTCTGAAGCAGTGGCCAAAGCAATTGAAGTGCCTTAATAGTGGTTAGTTCTTCAGTGCCAACTGCAAACTCATAAGGTGTGTTTTGGATTAGATTATATAATTTGTGATTGAATTTAGTATTGTGGATGAATTCTAAAATTGGGATTTCTATGGGTTGTACAAACTCGTGCGGGATAAGGAAGGGTCGGGATTCTTCGGCGTTGAAGGTCTTGGTGATGGGACAGAAGATGTACATTTGGGTTATGGGGTCATAATTACGAAGAATACCATGAAGGTTAATATCTTTAATGCAATATGTGAAATTTAGGAAAAATGGTGAAGTGTATTTGGAATTAATGAATTGAAAACGATGGTGTGGTTGTCTAGAGGGTGTGTGTAGGTCAAAGTGATTTTGGATGAAGCGATAATAACTATATGTGTGGGTTTGTTTAGTGCGCAACATAATATCGTGTGAGCAGTGTAAATCTCTTTCGTGTGGTGCAAGGAAATGAAAGGTTAGTGAAAATATTTGGAAGCGTTCTTTAAAACTTTCGTATGCTTGTGTGTCTGTTAGTGCTTCTGAAATAATGTGATCAAACTTTCGGTCGAAGATGTTTAGTGTAAATATATATGGTGTCTTGATGAAAAATTTTTCGGTAATTTGTGGATTAGCGAAGCGATCGTCGTCTAAGAATTGATCTTGGTTAGCTCTGATGATGTTGTGATCATAGTATTCGAGTGTATATTCGTTAGCTCTAGGTGCAGTGTGTGTTTTTAGTGATTTTTTATATCCAACGTAAGTAAATTGTCTAGCGGTTAGTGGTGTAGTGAGTCGATATAGCATGTCCGTATTTCGCTCTATATCGATGTGAGTGTTAGATAAAGGTAAGCAAAGAGGGTTAGTAAAATGATAATATGAGGTCCAAGAGAGAGTGGGCATTAAAACGTATTCATCTACAAAGTTGCGTGTTTCGTTAGTGTCGTGGGGGGTGTTTAAGGTGTATTGTGGGAATGAGGGTAAGGTGATGGCTAAAAATTCTTTTGTGTTAGTATGCTTGGGGTGGTTGATGTATTCACGGGCTGTTCCTGGTTTTGCTGGGAAAGGATGGTTGGGGAACTTTCTTTTAAAAGTGCGGTAAGCTCTATTAGTGTTAAGTGAAGATTCAGTTGATGTGGATGATGGTGCTAATGATTCAGTATAATTTGAAGAGGGTGTAGGGGTAGGGGGGTTGGATGAATTTATTGTGGAGGAGATTTGGTTTATTGTTGGGGTATGGAGGTGGTAGGGTTGTTGTTGAAGGGTAATAAAATTGTCTAGCTCTGGGGAGATTCGGGGGGTGTCTGGAGAATGAGATGATTGGTCAGAATGGTATGAGGAGTAGGTTGGGGTAACTTGGGAAGCATAAGAGGGTGTGGAAGTGATTGGGTCAGGGTTATTGGATAATATGGGTTGAAAAGGGGGTTGAGAAAATTTAGAAGAATCATGAAAATGATTTGATGGGGATGGTTCTGAGTCGGCAAATTCATCGGGG